ACACTCGCACACACCCACACACACACACACACACGCACTCACACACACACTCACACACACTTGCACACACTTGCACACACTCGCACACACTTGCACTCACACACACACTCACACACACTTGCACACACACACACACCCACCCACACTTTTGTCATCCGCCGAACGAGTCAGTCCTGCGTGGCTCTGCTAACGAGCGTCTGCTGTGCTCAGACCTGCTGGAGGAGACGGAGAAGCTGATGGCGGAGAAGGTGGAGGTGCAGCGTCAGGCGCAGAAGGAGAGCGGCGAGCTGCTGCAGCAGGTGAAGCAGCTGGAGGCGGAGCTGGAGGAGCAGGTGAGCCGTCTGCAGGAGCTGCAGGAGACGCACAGCGCCGAGACGGCAGACCTGCGGCAGCAGATACAGGCCTTAGAGAAGCAGCTGGAGAAGAACCGCAAGTTCATGGACGTGAGTCGCTTCAGCATGCTTCTTCAACGTGACCCTTTATTTCTCGCAATTCTCACTTTTTTTCCTCAGTCATTTGTTGCTATTCTGACTTTTTTTGCTATTCTGAGTTTATATCTCGCAATTGAATATTTATTGCAATTCGTACTTTTTTCTCGCAATTCTGTTTTTTCCTCAAAGTTCTGACCTTTTAATCATATTTTTACTTTTCTCTTGCAATTCTGACTTTTTTTCTCTGTAATCTGAGTTTATATCTTGCAATTGAATATTTATTACAATTCAGTTTTTTCCTCGCAATTCTGAGTTTGTTGCGTAATTCTGAACTTTTTCGCAATTCAGACTTTTTTTTCTCGCAATTCTGTTTTTTCTCAAAGTTCTGACTTTTTCCTCGTGTTTTGACTTTTCTCTCATAATTCTGACTTTTTTTTTCCCGCAATCCTGACTTTTTTTCTCTTTAATCTTGACTTAATTCTGACTTCTTTTTCGCAATTCAGACTTTTTTTTCCCGCAATTCAGTTTTTTCTAAAAGTTCTGACTTTTTCTCGTAATTCTGACTTTTCTTGCAATTCTGAGATTATATTTTGCAGTTTAGAGTTTTTATCATGCGATATTGACGTTTTTCTTGCAATTTTTACTTTTTGCTTATAATTTTGAGTTTATATCTCGCAATTGAATATTTCTTGCAATTCTGTTTTTTTCTCGCAATTCTGAGTTTGTCACACAATTCTGTTTTTTCTCAAAGTTCTGACTTTTTCCTCGTGTTTTGACTTTTCTCTCATAATTCTGACTTTTTTTTTTTTCGCAATCCTGACTTTTTTTCTCTTTAATCTTGACTTTTTTTTCTCTTTAATCTTTGTTTATATCTTGCAATTGAATATTTATTGCAACTCTCTCTCTCTCTCTCATACACACACACACACACTCTCACACTCACACACACACACACACACTCACACACACACACACACACACTCTCACGCACACACACACTCTCACGCACACACGCCCACACTCACACACGCACACACTCACACACACTCACACACACACGCACGCACTCTCACACACACACGCGCACACTCACACTCACGCACACTCAGACACGCACACACACACACGCACACACTCTCGCACACATTCTCACACACGCCCACACACGCACACACACTCACACTCGCACACTCAGACACACGCACACTCAGACACGCACACACGCTCACACTCACACACACACAAACTCACAGACTCACGCACACACACACACACTCTCACACGCACACACACACTCACTCTCACACGCACACTCACACACTCTCACACGCACGCACACACTCACACACACACTCTCTCACACGCACACACACGCACACACTCACTCACTCACACACACTCTCACACGCACACACTCTCTCTCTCTCTCTCATACACAC